AAAATTCACTGGAGAGAGAGAGAGAAAAAATAACTCTTAGAATGAGCATTAATGCCTTTAGCATTATAAATTGAAAGCCTTTGAATTACACAATTGAATTACAATTGGAACAACATTTATAACCATCTGACACAATACTGAAAACTGATGACACATCATGATTAAACTTCTAACATAATAGCATGTTGTATGATTATTGCATTTTTAAATAAAACTTCCTTTTTGTCATGTTGTAGTTGCTTTTATCTTGTGCTCCTTTACCTAATTCATATATGCTCAGAATTTTTTTGTTTAATTCCTTCTAAAGTTTTTACTTTTTAAGAATCTGGGAAAAAATAGATATAAACATTGTTTACCCCAGATGCATTCATGATTTAAGCATCATAATAGAGTGAAATGCTATTTTACCAAAATGTGGTGCATACTGCCACCTCATGGTAAGAATGGGAACATGTGAGGATTAAAAAAAAAAAATCATGGAATCTGCCTGAGTTACTCTGAAATTTGACTATTGCTTCCTTAGCTGCCATTTTATTATAATACAAGTAAACCTAAACTTCAAGTTTCCACCATATAAACTTAGGAAATAAAGTTGATGTTTTTAAGAGGCAATATATATTGATATCTGCATACTGAATTTCTAAGTAGAATTCACCCTCTGCAAAATGGTAGAATGCATGCCTTCTCTGCAATAGTAAGAGAGCAAATAAATGATACTGAGGTTCAGATTCCAACACTATCATAATTTGTGTTCTATTTGAAAACCGTAGCCCTAAAGGTTAATGCCCCACCTGCAAACACACCTGTCAGAGGAATCAGCTCTCTGGGATACTCAGGTATGCAGCCTAGCCAGCGTCAAACTCTTCTCTGTAATATTTATCAATTAATATTATCTGTTGAGTATTTACTACACACCTAAAATGGTAAGCAATGCAAGAGATTTTAAAATATAAGTTTATTTATTTGTTTGTTTGTTTGTTTGTTTGTTTGTTTTATTTATTTAAATTTATTTTCCTCCACTGAACTCTCCCCAGCAGCTCTCACCCCTCAGCACATGCCCTCATCCCTCTACTGTTTGTCATGCTCATATGCATGCATACAAGTCCTTTGGTTGATCTCTTTCCCCCTCACTCCCTGCCTTCCCTCATAGGTTGAACAGTCTATTTAATGGTTCTCTATCTCTGGATCTATTCTTGTTCATCAGTTTATGTTGTTCATTATGTTCCACATATGAGTGAGATCATGTGATTTATCTTTCTCTCACTGGCTTATTTCTCTTAGCATAATGCTTTCCAGTTCCATCCATGCTGTTGCAATTGGTTAATATTCCTTCTTTTTTTACAGCAGCATAGTATTCCACTGTGTAGCTGTACCATAGTTTCCTAATCCACTCATATGCTGATGGACACTTAGGCTGTTTCCAAATCTTAACTACTGTGAATTGTATTGCTATGAACATAGGGGTGTATATATCCTTTCTGATTGGCATTTCTGTTTTCTTGGGATAATTCCTAGAAGTGGGATTACTAGGTCAAGTGGGAGATCCATTTTTAATTTTCTGAGGAAACTCTACACTGTTCTCCATGGTGGCTGCACCAGTCTGCATTCCCACCAGCAGCACACAAGGCTTCCTTTTTCTCCACATCCTCCCCAGTACTTGTCATTTGTTGATTTGTTGATGGTAGCCATTCTGACAGGTGTGAGATGGTACCTCATTGTTGCTTTGATTTGCATCTCTCGGATGATTAGTGACTTTGAGCCTTCTGTATGTCCTCTTTTGAAAGTGTCTTATTTAGGTCCTTTGCCCATTTTTTGATTAGATAGTTTATCTTCCTTTTAAGTCATGTCCTTAGCCAAAAAGAACTTGAGGGAAAGATGATAAACATACACTAAATGTTGAGCTTTTTAAAAAACCATAATAGGATTTAAGCAAAAGATAACTTTCTGTTAGACTGGAATATTTCAGAGCTACATTGATAGTGCAGTTTAGTTCTGATATGGTTTGGATAGCTGAGTGGGGAAGGGGATTCCAGGGTATACAGAGGAAGAGAATGGCATGTGATCACTGCCCTAGAGATACAAGGAGTGTGCTGGTGGCCGTGGGAAGTGATGGGAATGATAGAGTGTATCTGACATCCTCGAAAGACCAATGAGAACATAACTTAACTTGGGAGGCAGGAAGGTGCCATTTTATTATTTTTAGCAAAAGATAGAAATGAAACACTCATGATTGAATATTTATATGAGAGATTTATATGAGAGAAATATTCAGAAATACAAGATGGAGAAAATTCAGATTCCAATTGATTTTATTTCTGATGTCTATGAGACAAAACTGGGTTTTGTTCTAGGAGTGGAAGTTGTTATACATTTGTTTCTTAGCCTTTACAAGATTTTCTTGTAGTATTGTTTGCATAGCAAGTCAATGTATAATAGCAAAGGTAGGGGGAGAAGGTGGGATGGTACCTGGAATTATGTTAATTTTCAAGAGCAAGATGATTCCAGTTTACTGAAACATTTGCATAATTATTTGATGTGAAGAAGTAGGTCCTAATGTGATTTATTGAGAGTCCTGGCTTGCCTATTACATTCCAGTTTAACCCGCAACCTGTAGTAACTAATACTGGGACACTGATTGGGAGTTTATATGACATTTTCACTGCTATAAAACAGCAGAATATGGAACAAGATTACTCTTAGAGAAGTTGGAATTCAAATCTCAGTGCTCTTAACAACACACTATTGTATTTCACTCAATTAAAGAATGCAAAGTCACTTTTATATATTAATTTTTATAAACCCATCATATTTAATGGTAATTATAACAATTTTTCTAACTTATTCTAGAAGGTCAATAAATATGTATGCTCTTCTGAAGGTATTCTTTGCTTGGTGGATAACTGTACTTTCAAAACGATTGCAATAGATGGTCTTACACAGTTTCACTAAATCATTTTGCAGCCATCCCAATCAATTCACAGAAAACTCCTGGTACACATTTTGACAACACTCATTATCTGCTAAACCGACCATATCCGTTCTGCAACAGCCATTATTGTGGACTACAGACATTCAATTTTAGCTACTTATGAAAAAGCAGATTTTTGTAATAATATACTGGATCATTAAGTTTTATTGTATGATGCTTACAAACCACTGGCCCAATAAAATTTTAAGCAGAATACTTTTCTAAATGACTACTGAACATTCTCTACACTATAATCCTTTTTTTTTTTTTAAATGGCTGTTGCATATCTTTATTCTTTAACCAGATCCCTAAAGTCAAGTCAAACAAGGCAGAAGGAAGAAAGAACTCTGTTCTGAGAAGCAGCTAGGGGTTGGGGGAAGTGAGGTTGGAGGAAGGGGTGGCTGGCCAGGATTGACTTTGCTGGAGTTGGCCAGATCTTTGCTGTACTGATTTGATTTTCAAGATCTGACTGTATTGTTTTTTAAAAATTCCTCTAAGCATATTGAAATATACTAATTTGCCTTATGAAAGAATTTTCTGGACTATTTTGATTAATATAGCAACTACAGTTGACCCTTGAACAATGTGGGTTATTACTACCCCCTACTCTCCCACTTTTGACTCCCCCAAAACTTAATTGCTATTGACTAGGAGCCTTATCAACAACATAAACAGTGATTAACACATACTTTGTATATGTGCTATATACTGAATTCTTACAATAAACTAAGCTAGAGAAGTTAAAGCACTATTAAGAAAATCATAAAGAAGAGAAAATACGTTTACAGTACTTATTGAAAAAAGATCTCATGTATACATGAACTTGTGCCTTTCAAACCCATGTGTTCAAAGGTCAATGTTCATTGAAAGATGGTAAGTTTCTAAAATATCTGCACTATATAGTTTGAAGTTGAAAAATTCATTATAGCATGACTGCAGTATATTAGATAATATTGATCATTAATAACCCTTTGCTGATTGATTTCCACTGTAAATTACATGTAGTACTGAATATGTGTTGTATCTAGAATTTCTATAGTGTCTGTTCTTACAAAGATCACAGAAACTGTTATGGAAAAGGTAAACACTGAAATTACACTATATGAGGTATGTGCAATAATTATAAAGGTAAAAACAAGAATTAGCATAAAGCACTGTCTATATACCATGATTCCTAATGCAATATTATCCTAGAAACTCATTCTTCTAAATATTCTATTACTATGATAATGAAAGAAATGCACTTTCTAATATTGAAGTCATATCTAACATTTTTACTTTTCTATATTAAAATCTTCACTGTTTATCATATTTATGTCACCAAATTTCCCATATTTATATAAATCTTCTTAGAGCTTCCTCTAGCACCCCGACTTGTGCATTGTAATTTGAGAATCATGGACCATGATACCTAAAATTACCAGAATGTGTGAAATTAATGCAAAGTAGCAAATTACACCACCATATACCTGTTAAAAGTCAATGAGAATAACATATCCTTTTCTTATGTTGTTTGGGATTAATTTTCCCCTGTTCTGGATTCCATGACACTCTCTTTTTCATTTGCTTAAATAGTGTTATAGGGTTTTGTCTAATATGTAACATTTTTCATTAGTAATTTGTAAGCATGTACTTTTCAAACTTATTTCAGTATTTCCATTGAGTCTTTTTGCTCAGTATAGCTAAGTTTACACAAATATAATGTAAAGCGTAGCTTAGCCACTTTAGTTTTGCTAAATGAGTGCACCAAGTTAAAAAAAAAAAAAACTGTATGGATAATGGGCTTCATTTTAGGGTGGAAAATCTCCATGCCTACTTTATAAGCTGGACAGCTCTAGAGGAACACCAGCTCAGTTAGTAACTCAAGAAATAATTACCCTTTGGCAACACTTCTGAGAATAAAAGTTCAGATCCTCTATCTCAAGTTGAGGGTGAATCATCACTGTTATCTTTCTGCTTTTAGATTTGCAATGGGAGTGATTTACTACCAAGCCTCAGTTCTATTTCTTCATCGCTCTCTTCTTGCTTTCAGCTCCCTGTGAAGGCAACATGTTCTTCTGCCACAGTAACATGTGTATCAACAACACCCTGGTGTGCAACGGGCTCCAGAACTGTGTGTATCCGTGGGATGAAAACCACTGCAAAGGTAATGAGCTTCAGACTCCCCCATCTGAGTGGGAAGGATACAATGCCAATGTTCTATGGATCGGACTGTCACAAAGACAGAGTGTAGAGAGGCTTTTATGAACTTTGGGTGTCTTATCATCCATTGGGAAGCCTTGTTCTTTGCCATTTCAGGTGCTGGCACCAGAAGTTTCTTTAACACACAGTGGATTCTCCAGAGCCCTTGAACGCTCATGGAGGTATCTTCATATGAGAGCCTGCAAGGACGTGGAAAGGCACTTGGAGCTTAGATGCAGTGTGGGATTTCCTATCAGACCCGGTGTCCTTCATCTGGGTTACATCTGCCATTATTCCAGTTTGTCTTCATTGAGTACATACAGCATACATACTCTAGAGATGAGGCTTATTTTTTTTAAAATATATTTTATTGATTTTTTTTTTCTTTTTTTACAGAGAGGAAGAGAGAGGGATAGAGAGTTAGAAACATCAATGAGAGAGAATCATTGATCAGCTGCCTCTTGCACACTCCCTACTGGGGATGTGCCCACAACCAAGGTACATGCCCTGACCGGAATCAAACCTGGGACCCTTCAGTCCGCAGGCCGACGCTCTATCCACTGAGCCAAACAGGTTTTGGCAGATAAGGCTTATTGAAGGCATGTTTAAGCATTCAGTTACTTCTAGCCACTTAAACTCAACTCAACTACCTAAACGCTTTTCTTCAATTGCAATAGAAGTAGCCCGCCCCCCTCCCTCCCCCTCTCCCACTTTGGCTGATGCACAAAGGCCCGTTTCTGTAGACAGCATTTCCAATCCTTGGCTTGGTTATAAATGTTGCATGTTTCAGTGAAGTTGAAAGTGCCAGACATCTTTTATACAGATTCGGTAAGAACCAATTTGCAAAGGACAAGCAGGCAGACAACTTTTTCTTACTCAAAGTCCAATATCGTCTACTAAACCGCCTTCTCTGGGTAGAGACAGAATGTGACCACAGCAGCCGTGGTTCCTGTGGTCAATAAGGAAGTCAGACCCGGCATCAAATATCTGAAGGTCGAAGTGGTGATGATCAGTTTTGTGTCCCAGGAACCATTTTGGAATCAATAGGAAATTAAATATTTTGTGAAGACTCTTGATACCATCCTGGTCATTTCCATTGTTTTTGAGATTTCCATTGGCTTTGGCACCTCCACACTCCGATCCAACTAGAATAAGTCTTCAGGGGAAGCTGTGGTCTGACTGTCTCATGGGCAAAATGAAGGGACAGGGACTATGGCCAGCTGTTTTAGAGTAACATCCCTTTTTGGACAGGGCCCTGGTCTCCTCCTCTGGCCTCTCCAGATGGTTCCCTCTGTGAGTGGGGCCCGGCCTCCTCACTCTCTGCACCTGGGCCTGAGCCTCGGTGCTACCAATGGGCCTGGGAGGAGGAAAGGAGCCCAGACACTAGGATTACCTCTGCCTGAGATGGAGCATGTGCAGTAGCGATGGGGGAGAGAAATGCTGGTGTCTTGCCCTCCTGGGGAGGTGCCGTGGCTCCATTCTGGGAGCTTCCATGCAATAGACCGTCACTGACCTTCAGGAAATTGAGATTTTACAAAAATAAATCTACCTCCATTCACCATTAGGACAAGTTCCCAGACAATAACTTGTTTGGATTTTAAACATAATTTTTATCAAAGAAGGTTGTTTCATTGGGGAAATGGCCTACAGATGCCTCCATGCCCTCACCCCAGAAATGTCTGTCTTGAAGTTTAATTACTTTTCGGATTCAGAATACAGTTACTGCTCACACAAATACAGGTGTAGTCATGTTCCCAGAGGTTGAGTTTGGGGGCTTTCTTATATCTCTGAGGGGGGAAAATGTACTGCTTTTAAAATTAAGATCTCATTCCCAAAGGTCATTCAAATGGTCTCCTAAGACCTTTTCCAAGCATAAATTTACATTAAGGCAGGGATGTTGGCTATGTTTGAGGCTAGACGATAAGGTCCTTGCAAAAAAGTGAACATTTTGATTTATTTATAAATATCACTTTGTGTTACTAGCAAACATTTTTAATTTTTAATTTTTAAAATATATTTTATTGATTTTTTTATAAAGAGGAAGAGAGAGGGATAGAGAGTTAGAAACATCATGAGAGAGAGTCATTGATCAGCTGCCTCTTGCACACACCCCACCGGGGATGTGCCAAAACCAAGGCACATGCCCTTGACCAGAATGGAACCTGAGACCTTTCAGTCCACAGGCCGACTTTCTATCCACTGAGCCAAATCGGTATCGGCACATTTTTAATTTTTAAAACTCCATGCTTAGCCCAGATCATCCTAAAGTTGTCAGTAGGTGCTGTGACTGCCGTGCATATACCCGGTGGGCTGTGTCTGTCTTTATTTGTTTTCACTCTTCTCAACCCACAGAAAAGAGGAAAGCCGGCCTACTGGACCAGCTGACCAACACCAGTGGGACCGTCATCGGGGTGACGTCCTGCATTGTCATCATCCTCATTATCATTTCCGTCATCGTGCAGATCAAACAGCCTCGTAAAAAATATGTCCAGAGGAAGTCGGACTTTGACCAGACAGTCTTCCAGGAGGTGTTTGAGCCCCCTCACTACGAGTTATGCACTCTCCGAGGGACGGGGGCCACGGCCGACTTTGTCGACTTGGGCGATGACTTTGACACCTACCATAAACTGCGGAGGTCCTCTTCCAAGTGCATCCATGACCATCACTGTGGATCCCAGCTGTCCAGCGCGAAAGGCAGCCGCACCAACCTCAGCACAAGAGACGCGTCCGTGTTGACGGAGATGCCGCCCCAGCCCGTCAAACCCCTCGTCCCGCCCACGAACAGGAGGAACATCCTGGTCATGAAACACAACTACTCACAGGATGCTGCGGACGCCTGCGACATTGACGAGATCGAGGAGGTGCCCACCACGAGCCACAGGCTGTCCCGCCACGAGAAAGCCGTCCAGCGGTCAGTATCAGTAGATATTTTATGACAGCTCTCACCTGAGGACTGCAATGCTTCCAGAATATTGAGTTCTGTTTTGTCTTCATTTTTTCTTTAAAGAAATTTATATATAATGCTTTTATTGATTTCAGGGAGGAAGGGAGAGGGAGATAGAAACATCAATGATGAGAGAGCATCCCTGATCGGCTGCCTCCTGCACACTCCTACTGGGGTGGAGCCCGCAACCCAGGCATGTGCCCTGACTAAGAATCAAACTGTAACCTCCTGGTTCAACCACTGAGCCACCCTGTCTTTATTCTTCAGTTTTCCTTTTTATCAATGATTTAAACCAATGTCTCCATGTTTTCCTCTTTTTCCTTCTCAGTGCCATCCATACTCTTCCAAACCCCCCATATGTGTCCCTGTGCTTGTGAGCACATACTGAACAAAGATATTTCACTCATTTCTACAATCATAGCATTTATTTCTACAAAAATTAGGTTTTAATTTATATTACAAATTTACATTGATAATTTGCTTGCACATTGTCCCAATCAATATTTATATTTTTAATATATGAAATGATATTTGGAAATAATTTCCTTACCAAGATGATTAGCCCATCCTGTTGAATAATTTTAATATAGAAATATCACATTTTTTTCAATATAATGTATTATATTTTTGGTTTAGAAATGAAAATATGATTTTCCACATATTACATAATATTAATATTACAAATTGCATAGAAGACCATGGTATACTAAAATACTTATCTTTTCTAAAAAAAAACTTTTAAAAAAATATATTTTATTGATCTTTTACAGAGAGGGATAGAAAGCTAGAAACATCGATGAGAAACAAACATTGACCAGCTGCCTCCTGCACACCCCCTACTGGGGATGTGCCTGCAAACAATGTACATGCCCTTGACCAGAATCGAATCTGGGTCCTCTCAGTCCGCAGGCAGATGCTTTATCCACTGAGCCAAACCGGTTTTGGCTAAAATACTAATCTTTATATTTAAATGTAGCAAAGATTAGTAGAAACATTTTTTTAACTATAATTTATTGATTTTTTTTTTTTTTACAGAGAGGAAGAGAGAGGGATAGAGAGTTAGAAACATTGATGAGAGAGAATCATTGATCAGTTGCCTCTTGCACATCTACTGGGGATGTGCCTGCAACCAAGGTATATGCCCTTGACCAAAATCGAACCTGGGATCTTTCAGTCCACAGGCCAATGCTCTATCCACTGAGCCAAACCGGTTTCGGCTAGTAGAAACATTTGATTCATTTTTATTTTAATGTAAAGGCAATGTGATCTGTATTGTATTATTAGCCCTAAGATTTATAAAACTTTGGGAAAAAGAAAATTTAAATTTAGGGAAACATATTTTAAATCCCAACTCCCACCTACTTTTGTTTGTTTTGTTTTTTACTAGTATTTGGTTTGTTTTATATTCTTTCTCAATTCACCATACATTTTCAAAACCTAAAATATTTTAGTTGATTTAATGTTTTTGCATGCTGAGAGCAAAAATCTATTTTCATAGTTATGTGAATTTTTACGAATGCTTTTAAGTAAATATTTGTGTGTGCATTTATTTTTTGTGCAAATATTACTTTGTTGAATGAAACAGCCGTAACATTCCAGGTTCTGCCTCATTGGGTCTCTAAGCAAACATGAATCTGAATACAACACCACTAGGGTCTAAAAAGAAAATTCAAGGTAAGCAAATGCCCTTGGTTTCTTCTCCTTCTTCGTTGTATTTCATTTTTGTTTTGTTTTGTTGCAACTGTCTTGCAGTTCTTTAGGGAACAGCCATTTTTATTATTTCTTTAAATACGTGTTTCATAACATTTCATAGAATGGAGTCAATGCTGATGGAAGGATGATTCTTAGTGCCTGTATCTTTAAAATAAATATTCATATTCTTACCATCAAGCATTGTATTGCAATGTTATTGAATAGGATGTTTAATTGAGATACATTTTACATGCTTTCAGGTAAAGATACAAGAATTAGTGACCTTTTTAAAGAAATACCAGAAGAAATCCATGATTTTCATAATTAAAAATTGAATATTGTCTCAATATATTGATACCGAGACAATAATTTGACAATATTTTACTCCAAATTTATACACTAAAAATTTTGTGGTTTTCATGGTTTTCATACAATTTGTGCATCATATTTTTGCATGTATATGTAGCTTATGTCATGAAAATTAAATGCAAGTTATGTTGAATGCTTCACAATGTAAAATGTTTCGTAAATACCAGCTGTCTTTGTGTGTCTCTTATTTGTCATTGAATATCAGAATGGTTTTATTGGTATCACTTGGTAGTCTATATCTATATTAGACTAATTTGTTTCCAATAAAATTTGTTGGACAACTAATCGCTTAAAAAAACACTTCAAACCTACCAACTATTCCTAAGATAGGTGATGCAATTCCATGCTCTAGAATCTAGATGACCTTGAGTCTAGATAACTTTAATAAATTGGTGTATAGTATTTGTGTATATTTTTCACTGGGAGAAATTGTTTTAACTGTGTTTCATTTTCAGAAAAGAACTATTTATACAAACATGGGCACTGTGCAAAGAGAATTCTATAGTGAATTATGAAAAGTGGACATATTTCTAAATCCATTCCACTGCCTTTACCCAAACTTAAGAATTACAGACATTTGTTATTTCTTCGGCAAGACATCCCCGCTGCACAATGATGTGTTCATTTCGTAATTTGGTTGCTGGCCACCAAGTGCTCCTTAGTATTTAAATACATTTTGAGATTTACTGGAAACTTGAAGAAGAAATTAGTTCCTGATTCAGACTATTATTCACTTTTACTTTCATTTCCACTTTGTTTCTATGTTGTTTCATGTCTCTTATATAATTGTATATTGTGTGATATGTGAAAAACAAAACAAAACAACAACACAATTTGGGATGAACTTGGTGTTACATGTACGTTGTTTTTATTACATAGACTGCTTGAGAATAGTCGTCCTGAGTGAGTCTGAACATGCGACAGTGAAAATGTGGACCCTGGGATCAGCAGCCAGAGGTTTCTGGACTGAGGATACATGTCTGTTGTATTAGGATTAAATGCAGCCAGAAGTAATGAGTAAAATGACCAGATGGCAATAAAAACAGTCTCATTCTTTGGTTTTTCTTCTGTACCCTTGATTTCCTTACTTTATTTTATATCAAAGGAAAATACCCAGTTTCAGAAATAGTTTTTGAAATCGGCATTTTACCTTCACTAGCAATGTTTTTGCTTCAGCACTTAGCAATATGACTGAATTGACAGACCCCTGCATGTCAGTTCTGGATATTTCGGTAGGAACACTACCCTCTCTCTGAGACACATTGTAAAAAGCATGCGTTCGCCAACCCTGTTGTCTCTCCGCCATGTCTTTGTATCATCTGCTTGCTCCTTGTAACTTTTTATATAAAGATATATAAAAATGTACAATAATTTCCTAACCTGAGTTAAGAGAAATGTTTTCTTCTGTGAGAGTGAAAAAATTGACTTACACACTTTATATCAACTCTTTCCTCACTGTAAGCGTCAGGATGTCCTTTAGCATTGAGGTTAATCTCCAAAATTTTATGGATAGCATTCTTGTTTAGAATAGGAAAGTCTTTTATAAATGCTTTCAAGCCATCAGCCATTTTAGCACCCAAATTATACCATTCTGAGTTGTTCTTATACTGAGGCATACATATGATACCTAAAGTCTTAACTAATTAAGATGTGTTTAAATATAAGTAAACTCATGTAATATATTTAACTGCTGTTGAAAGATATACACACTATCAAATTTGATTAAATAATTTGGGCACTTTTAAAATATTGAATGTGTATTCCTAGAAAATAAATTTTTAAAAGAGAATTATTATAAATTGGCTTGCAAACATTTTCAAAATTGCAAAATTCTATAGAATTCTGTCCTTTAAACACCAAAGGAGTCTAGTGCATCACAATTCACACCTTATAATTCAAGCTGACTTCACAAACCCAATAGATTAATTACTCACATACACCCCCATCAGGAATTTAACTTTATATATGTCATACAAAAAAATGGGGGGGGGAGGATTTTAGTCCTAGAAAAAATAAATAATTATCATAACTCTGAATAGTCTATATTTTTAAAAATGTCAATTTTCAGAAATAGTCACTCCCATGAATGTGATTAGCTCATGAATAGAAAAAAATTATATTGAGCACAATAAAGATAAGTTTTTATTTTGCTACATATTTTTGTACACATTGCTTATGTTAAAATTTGATTGACTTGACTGGTTTATTTATTAGCATGGCTATATTTATGCCTTTCATTCAATTTTAATACATTCAGTTATTATTTTTGGATGTGATTAGCCATATTTTATATTATTTATTTAGACATCGTCATAGGGCCCTTTACACTCTGAATGACTCAGAAAAATATATCTACATGCCAAGGCCCTTTAGAACAGCAAACGGGCAGGAAAACAAATTAGGTGAACCCTTTACAATCATCTGTCCATAGACATCCAAATGCCTCCTCTTTCTACAGTTTTTTTTTAATATACAGAAGTCTTCTGATTTGCTACTTCAATGCATAAAATACATATGCACCAGAAATCCACTGATGGAGACTTAAAACAAACATCCAACTACACCAACTATAATAATAACACTGGATTGCATGTATTTATATAATACACAACAGCTTCATGGGAAAACAAAAGAAGAATAGGCCTCTTTAGGGGTAATACTAAAAGATTCTTATCAGTGAGCATTGACTAATCAGAAAGGATAATAGTGGTAATGTTGAGGCAGAGTTTTGGAGGCTGCTGCTGTCCTTGGACATCACTCTCCACGCTGGATCTTGTGAGTGGGGGGCTCCATGATACCTGCGAGATATTGTTTGGATTCCCCAAGAACAGACTCTTTAAAGACCATATTGAAATATATCCATATGTCAAAAACTCCAATTTACTGACAATATCGGGCAAGGTCACCTGAATACCAGCCTGTGGTTTACACTCAATTGGGAAGACTCAGGTAGGTAAGGAAGGAGTAGTTTTAAGACTTCTGAGATGTTTCAATGTGTTTCAAGTCATGTTATTTTAAGAGATAATTATATTTTTGATAAAGTGATTTCAAATAATCCTAATTCCATGTTTTAAATAATGTAATTATACATTATGTTAGTTCATTGGAAAATAGCTGTTTTCATTTTATTTCTCTGTTGAATTCACTTTCAAGATCTGGGAGGCATGTCATTATGTGAAATGCCTCTGAGGTCCTGAACTTAGCTCTTTCTTTCTGCCCAAGTGCTTTTCAATTGCCAAATTCAGGTTGATGTGCTGATTAGGAAATACCTGTATGTGTTTTCTGTACCTGATTTTATGCACATGCCACTTTATGCATTATATTGCATAATAGGCATGCAATGTTTCATTTGCCATAACTAACTTTTCTTTGATTAGAAAATCAAAATGTGGCTATAAATCTATTTGGAGGTCATGTTGGACTTTTCAAGGAGACCAATTCATATTGTGGAGATGCTGACTTTTCTGTTTCATGTTATTATTTTTTCTACTAGAATTATTTCAATAGGTTTGACTCCATAAACTGTCTTTTTTGGTGTTTAATAAAGTTAGATCTTGGACATTATCTGAATAGTCACCTAAACTATTTTTTCCCTTAGGAATTTGGATTTTCCTTAAATTAGGTAAGTTTTTTTTTAAAAAGTCTGTGAATGGATTTCCCTAGACTTCAGACTATCATAATAAATTTCAAAACATGATAGTAGTTTCTGTTATCTTTATTAATGCAACTAGAGGCCTGGTGCATGGATTCGTGCACATTGAAAGGACATTAATTAGAAGAAATATTTTAATATCACAATGTGCCCTTTCTCTATAATAGAAGTGTCAACCAAATTCACAATAAAAAATGACAGATGGAAATACATGCATGTGATTGGTGCCAGCAAGAGCTTTAAATAGATAGTTAGATGGATAGATAGATAGATAGATAGATAGACAGACTTAATTAGACCTGCTTTCTGATTTAGCTAATCTTTTTCATGCCCAGTGAAGCACTTCAACTTCTCTTTTGGGTAATTGTTAGCAACACAGCAATAAATATCAACACGAAACAGATTATTATTGTGGATCACGCAGGGAGAGCAAAGGGTAAAATATTTAACTGTAGCAGTGTTTGACTATATTCTGCTCAGTGAGAAAACCTGAAGTCATTTTCAAGGTCCACTATTTCTTACTTCTTTTCAGTTGGGTCAAGTTTCTAAGCTTTCTAAATCTCCATTTTCTGGCTAATGAAAAGAAAATAGGATTCCATCAAGACTCCTATCTACCTACTCCAGGACTTCTGTGCGGATCAAATGAGATGAGGCATGGAAAAATGCTTCACAGGCATTTGGTTAAAGTGTGAAATGTTTCCACCTGTGTTCCTGGGATAAAGAAACTCCATGGAGCCCTAACTAGTTTGGCTCAGTGGATAGAGCATCAGTCTGCGGACTGAGGGATCCCAGGTTCGATTCTGGTCAAGGGCATGTACCTTGGTTTCAAGTACATCCCCAGTAGGAGGTGTGCAGGAGGCAGCTGATCCATGTTTCTTTCTCATCAATGTTTCTCTCTATCCCTCTCTCTTCCTTTCTGTAAAAAAATTAATAAAAAATATATTTTA